CCACGTCCAAGTCCTGACGACTGCCAAGTTGCCCAGATCACTTTTTCTTTAACATGCATTAATTAACTCTAGTTCGGGAAAGAACTTGTGGATGGCTGCCCAGTTGGAAACATGTCTTCAGCATCAGGGACTGTGCGTGTGGAAATGGTTGAATTGGTTTGTGATCTGTGGTGTCTTTTCTCACCGCACACAGAGTTGATTCGCTTAAGCAGAATCTCTTATCAGTTACTCTGTTTCCTGGAATGTATTGTATTCTTTTGGGCTACAGATTCAATTCCTTAGTCCAGGAAAGATTTCGATAAGTGAGGGGTGTAGTCCTGTCACAGATGAGTGCATTAGAGGGTCAGAGAGCTTTGCATGCTGGTATGTGGCAGCACTGGGATTTGCATCCATGTCTCTGCTCTAAAGCCTGTGCCTTCTACAGGCAGATGGGCCTGTCTCTTAGCCGCCACACCTAGTAGAGAGCAGTCTGAAGAGCATCTGCTTATCGCGTAGCATTTGGAATCTGGGTAAGGGAGCAAGTACTGGTGGCTCGGGTTCTTTTCAGAACATCTTTATTAAACATCAACCCTTGGGGGTCACTGCGTCCTGAAAGTTAGACAGGAGCTAACAGTGAAGATGGGGGGCCCCATTGAGGAGGTTTGACTTGGAACTGAGTAGACGGTTTTCAGATGGCAGAGATGAGTAAGGAGGAGCTTCCAGATTGATAGAACACCAGCCAATGGACGTGTCTAGCTGCTTATAACAGAAAATCCCAAACGCACATCAGCAATTTATTTCCCTTTCACATAAAAGAAATCTGGAAGTAGCTGGTGTGGGGACTGCAGGGGTAGGTAGACAATATGGGTAGTACTGTAAGGGTAGCCAGTGTGGGGACTGTCAGGGTAGCTGATGTGGGGACTGTGGAGGTAGCTGGCTGGATACTATGGGGGTAACCGGTGGGACTGTGGAGGTGTACCTGATGTGGAAGTAGTAGCTGGTGTGGCACCTCTGTGATCCTGACGCAGATCCAGGTCCCTTTGAGTTAAGTGTTCAACCTTCATAGGATGTGACTTAGGATCCGAGGTGTAACTAACAGCTGTGGTTTAGGACAGGATCCTGGGAAGAAATGAAATGCAGTCATGTCATGCACTTAGTTTGGGCAATGGCTGGTTGAACACAAATTCACGGGATGCCTGTGGTTATAATGGTGTTGTTAGGTGCCATTGATTCAGTACTGATTCATAGATAGCAACCCCTGTGTACAACAGAATGAAACACTGCCCGATCCTGGGCCAGCCTCGCAATCCTTGCATGTTTGAACCCATTGCTACTGCCACTATGTTAGTCTGTCTCATTGAGGGTCTTCCTCTTTTTCTCTGACCCAAACATGATGTCCTTCTCTAGGGACTGATCCCTCCTGATAATATGTCCAAAGTATGAGAGACAAAGTCTGCCCATCCTGGCCTCTAAGGAGCACTCTGGCTGTACTTCTTCCAACACAGATTGGTTTGTTCTTTTGGCAGTCCATGGTACTTTTAATATTCAATATTCTCCTACAACATCGTAACTAAAATGCATCTATTCTTCTACAGTCTTCCTTATTCACTGTCCAACTTTCATGTGCTTATGAAGTCATTGAAAGTACGAAGACTTGGATCAGGTACACCTTAGTCCTCAAACTGAAATCTCTGCTCTTCAACTCTTTAAAGAGGTCTTGTGCAGCTGTATTGTTTGATTTGACTTCTGCTTCCATGAGTTTTGATGGTTGATCCAAGCAAAATGAAGTCATTAACAACTTCAGTCTTTTCTCCATTGATATGAATGTTGTTCATTGGTCCAGTGGTGAGAACTTTTGTTTTCTCATGTTATAATAGAGTTCAGAAATCCTGATCTGAGATGTAGCAAATGCAGCGTTTCCTGTGTCTCCTCTCTCTGTGCACAGGGGTATGATAGTGCAGTGCATGCGTACTGTGTCACCTGTGTCTCCTCT